TTGTTTTGGCTTTGAGGTACCTATTCAAATAATTTGCCATTTATTTATTTATTTATTTATTGTAGATGGATACAATACTTTTATGTTATTTATTTATTTTTATGTGATGCTGAGGATTGAACCTAGTACCTTATGTGTGCTAGACAGGCACTCTACCACCGAGCTATAGCCCCAGCCCTTATTTGACCATTTTTAAAGATTTGACTATATCTGATTGTTTAGCAAGAGTTCTTATATATTTTAGAAATAAATACTTGATGGTTAAATGTTGCATATATCTGCTCCTGTCCTATGCTCATCTTTTCTTTCTCTTAATGGTACCTTTTGATGAACAAATATTCCCGATTTTAATATTATTTCCAAGAAGTTTGATTTTGTTTTTTCTCTTTTAAGTCTACAGTCCATCTAAAGTTGACTTTTGTGTGTGGAGTGAGGTTGAAGTTAGGTTCCATTTTTCCCCTAATGAATATTCAGTTATGCCAGCACCAGTTCACAAAAGGACTGCCCTCTCCCCACTGCTTTCTGGCATTTGTCTGCCATAAATTGGGGTCTCTATATGCCTGCATGCTAAGCTGTCTATTCTGTTTCATTGGTCTAGTCCTGAATCATTAACTTCCTGTCATAATTACTATAGCTGTATGGTAAGAAAGCCTCTCATCTTATTTTTCCCCCAGTTTTTCAAACAAGTTTAATCCTATATAATTCCAAGACATTTTCTTTTTTTAAACAAATCTACACAGGAAACATGATTTTTAAATATAAACAATAACTTAAATGCCCTATCTTGACTACATGGAAAGCGTGTGGCATCTTTGCTGAGTCTGAAAGGAGGGCTGCCCAGATGACTCGTGAGAGGAGGTTAAGAGGAATCTCTTCCTAGGACCTTGGTATTGTGAGGGCCTTCCTGTGCCTATTCCCTGGGACACAAGGCAAACCTCCTTCCTTGCAGTTGAGTGCAGTCCAGGAGCGATCAAGTCCATCATCTTTTTTCCTGAGTGCAGATGTTCTTGTTGAAACTGCCAAGCTGAGAGGACTGCTTCATAGCCCTCCCTCTTGTAGTCAGAGACGGTGTAGTCTGTGAGCTGCACCCACCGACTGATGGCAAGGGCTGCTGCTCTCCTGCCACTTTATGACTGCACACATACCATGTGCCCTGCAGCATGCCATCTCTCTGCACATAGTAGTTATGAAATGAGTGGACTTGGGCCCCCAGCAGTGCACCCAAACCCATTCACTGAACTGACCCTGTAGGCAGGGGCCTGCCTCAGCCTCTGCTGTCACCCAAAGCTGTGTTATTCTGCTTATAGTGCAGGGAGGAGTACAGCCAGGGATCATTTTTTTTTTTTTTTTGGTAGTGGGGATTAAACCCAGAGGCACTTTACCACCGAGCTACATCCCAGCCCTTTTTATTTTTATTTTTTTGAGACAGGGTCTTACTAAGTTGCTAAATGCTGGCTTTGAACTTGCAATCCTCTTGTCTCAGCCTCCTGAGCCAGAGATCACTTTTCATGACAAGATGCTGCAACTGGCCATGGTCAAGTTTTGGGTGTTGAGGCCAAAGTGCCTGCTGGCCTAGGGGAATCTCCCAAGGGTCCCTGGCTTTCAAGCCTCGCTCCTTTCAGATCAGAAGCTGAGCCATAGACTGGGGAGAGAAGATTTAGGCTGGCCTCAGCCCTCCTCTGGCCCGCGAGCTGCTCCTATGATGTTATTCTCTTATTCTTTTTTAAGAGTGCCTTGGCTATTCTTATTCTTCTGCATTTCCATGTACGTTTCAGAATTAACATGTAAAGTTTCATGCTGGGTTTCTGTTCTCCCGACTATAAGGCTCAGGGGTCACTCCAGGTAAACTGGGCTAACTGGGCTGTGCAAAATAACCACACAAGAGACACAAATACCTTTTTCTTTGGGGTCACTGTGATGGCTCCTCTGACCTTAAGGGTCCACTGGAAGAGAGAGAGAGAGAGCATCGCATTGACCCCCTTTATTGAGGAGAAGCTATTTAAATGAGGCAAGGAGTCAGGTTTCAGGGGGCTGAGTCTATCTTCATGATGTCCACTGTCAGCAGGATGATTGACACTTGGGTAGGCCACACCCAAGGGCACAGTAAGAGAAGGGGACGCACACAAGGCACTTCCATGGAAGATTCTATCCTAAACAGGGCAAGGGGTTATATTTCAAAGGAACAGGTGAGCATAGCTCCACCCATGGGGCTGTAGCAAGACACACCCATGCAGGAAACACCGACCCTCTAACCCAAGAAGGGTGGGGAAAGCTCTGCCACATTTCTGTGATTGAATGCCTCAGCACCCAGCCAGGGAGTGTGACTCAGTCACATGTGAGGTTGGTCTCCCACAGTTTCACAAGTCTGTGGGAATTTCGGTTGTTTATAATCTACCAATTTATTTTGAATTGACATCTTTATAATAGTTTTTGTCTAGGAATAAGGTATATCCATTAATAAGTTCTACTTTATTGCCTCTCAAACATTTTTCGAGGTAATATTTGTTATTTCAATTTTTTTAATTGAAAATAAAATATATATATAACAAAACTTACCATTTTAAGTGTATAATTTGGTGATTTTTATTACATTAATAATATTGTGCAACTATCACTAATTTCTAATTTTAGAATATGTTCATCACCTCTCTTTCCTGAGAAACCCATACCTATTAAACTGTCATTCCCCCAGTCACTAGAGACCTCTGCTTTCTGTCTTAGAGGATTTGTCTGTTCTGGACATTTCATGAAAATGAAATTATTTAATACCGGCCCTTGGTGTCTGATTTCACTTATAAGTGTAATGTTTTTAAAGTTCATCCATGGTGTAGTATATATCAGAATTGTATTCCTTTTTATGGGAATACTATTGTTTTGTATGGATGTCTCACATTTTAATTATGTGTATATACCACATAAAGTCATTAGCTGATGATCATTTGTCAATGAAATTTCATAATGTTTTTAACAGAGCAGTCTCCCGCCTTTTATTATATTTTCAAATTCTTGTAAATTATACTGTTGTTTATTTAGTTTATTGATGTATACAAGAATATATGATTTTGATTTTTATATCCTGTGAGTGTAAAGTTTAATAAACTGTGTTAGTAATTGCAGAAAGTTGCTGGGTGCAGTGGCATGTGCTGTAGCCCCAGCTTTTCTGGTCACTGAGGTAGGAAGATCACTTGAGCCCAGGAGTTGAGTTCAAGACCAGCTAGGGCAACATAGAGAGACCCTGTCTCAAATCCAAAAATATTCTCTAGATTCTTCTGGACTTTATATATATATCAGTCATATCATAATGAATGAGTTTTGTTTCTTTTTTTTCTATGTTTTCTCCCAGTTGCTTCTTTCTTTAAAAGAAGACAGGTTAATGCTGCCTAGAACCTCTAGCATGATGTTGAACAGAGCAGTGATAGCAGGTAGCTGTGACTTATTCCTAATCCCAAAGGAAAAGCTTCAACTCTTCACCACTAAATATGAGATTTGCTATAGATCTATTTGTGTCTTAGGTGGTCTCTATTTTAGCTGAAGGCTGGCAAACTGAAAGGGCTTTCTGGTGTCAGTTTTTGTATGTTTTTTGTGGTGCTAGAGATTGAACTCAGGTCCTGGAACATGCTAAGCAAACATTTTAACACTGAGCTATACTACAACATCAGCTCTGGTTTTTTTTAAGGAAAATTTAGATGAGCTCCTTAGAAAACTTTGCCTATGATTCAATTTTTTCACTCTTGAGATATGGCTTTTGAAGTCATACTGACCTAGTTCCAAATATGGCTCTGCTATATGCTCATATGATTTTGTGAGGAATATCCTTTTAGGCAGAAACTGTCATATTTATTTGTTTCTGCATCCTTAGTTCTAATTTAATGTCTGATACATCACAGGTACTTAAAATGTGTATGTTAACAATATGAAGTTAATTTGTCTGAGTCTTGACTACCTTATTTATAAAATTGGAATAATTCCTTATAGGCTTCATTATGATTATTTAAAAATAATATATGTAACATAGTTGGCATGTAAAAAGCATAGAAATGATTAGTTTCCTTGAGATTTAATTTTCTTTAACTGATTACATTAGTAATCTGTTTTCCATCTTTAGGAAAGAAGTTTCTCCTAGAAACTTTTTTAAAAAACTTTTTAAAAACTTAAAATGTTTAAAAATTCTCCTGTGGTTGCTAAATATTCTGATGGCTTGGAGATGAGAGGGAGAATTTGATTCTAATTTGAAATGAACTTTTTAAGAACAGAAGGAACCTACAGATGGTGTAGTATGATCCATTGAATTAGTCAATTTTGTGAAAAACATAGTACCAACCTGCTTTTAAATGAATATATTAATATTCTACTATGAGTTCTGGTGAATTCATATTGTTTGCAACTAAATGACTCTAGTTCTGCTAAAACATCTTTTTCATAATCTTCTTCACCCATGCAGTTCTGATATCTCAGTTGTACTAAACTTTTGCTGCAGGAACAGTTCTGATGTCTTGGTGTCAATTATGTTGACTTTTCAAAGGAGATGATACACATGATATTGCTATACCATCCATGAGGTACAGTGTATCCTTCATGGCTCTGTCAGAAGTGTCAGGCTTCCTCACATATTAGCTTTTGAATTTAGTCATGCCCTTTTGTTGTCTGGAATAGAGGTGATAGATTGGAATGGGGCAACAGTAAGCGGAAAGGAGGTTTTCCAGAAGTAACTTGTAGACTCAAGATGACTTCAAAAGTATCCGTGGGACTAGAGGGATTTAAGAAGCCAAACTATAAAAAGACCACCTAAAGCTTATATACATGTTTCCCCACCAATCAGTAATCTAAATAATACCCTTCCACTCCTATTTAAGTGAAGAAAGCACAGGTTACATTGTCTGAGGGCATGACTGTTTGTTCCTCTAAAACCCTGTGGAAATTCTTAGGATTGTAATTAATGTTCCCTACCCTGCAGGGACCTTTGCAATTACTGATGAAAAGTTGGCCTTTCTCCATTTCAGATTGACATCAGCAAATGTCATTATTTAGTGGATTTGGACACCATGAGAGAAACACTGCGGGAGCCGAAATATTTATCCAATCGGGAAGAATGGATCAGCTTGGCCCATAGACCATTCCTTGATGCTTCTAGGTATGTGGCTTTAATCCTAAGAGAAATACTAAGAACAATAGGGTGAAAAATGGATTATAGGATTAAATAGCTACTTCAATCAGCCAGGACTGGAAGTTATCATTTCTTTTTTTTTAAAAAATGTTTTTGTCATTTCCTGAGAAATCTAAGAATGCTCTTTTTCAAGGCACCTGGAAACAAAGTATACTGAGGTATCATTCAGATGAAAGGCTTCTAAGTAATGCAGACAGGTCTACTGTGGAAAACTCAAATAAATCAGTGTTCAATACTGATTATTTTTGGTAATCAACATAAGCTACGTAAACTGAGAGTATTCTGACACTATTAGGAAGATTGTGTCCTTGAGAAGCTAGAGGTTCATGTCTATAATTTTCAGTTTCAAATCTCAGTCAGCATTGGGATAGGTCGTATTAGATCTTAAATAGAGACACCTTATTTGGTTTATTTACCAGGGCTTGTCTGACTCTTCAGAAAGGTCTCAGAATGAATGATAGGAGATCAGGAGATTCAGGTGTAGGAGTGAAGGGAATGGTGATTTGGTGGTTTGGAGATGGACAGGAGAAACATACAATAAATATAATAAGACATAAATTATATAGTATATTAGAATATGATAAATGCTAAGGGAAAAGATTAGCAAGTTCAAAGGACTGAGAGTTAACTAGAGCTAAAGGCTACATACACCTTTAGCTACATGGTTAGGGTAGGCTTCACTGAAAAGATGGTGTTTAAACAAAACCTTTGAACAAGGGAGGAAGGAAGGCATGTTGGTACCTGGTGGAAAAGCTGTGAAAAGACTTTGGTGAGGAAGCAACAATAGGAGGTAAGTGAGGCTGGAGCTGAGCAGGAGTGGGGAATGACAGGCTCTGTGGCCAGGGTGTATTTTTCTAGTTATGTATAGCTGTAGCCACACTAGTAAGGCACAGATTAGGTAAACTTAACAGGGTTGATTTTTTTTTTTAAATACAACTTTATTGAAGTATAATATATAAGCCATTTTTAGTGTACAACTAAATAATTATTAGTATTAGTAAATTCATCAAATTGTATAATCATTACCACAATTTACTTTTATTATTTTAAAAACCATTTTACTTACTTTTATCTTTTTGTGGTGCAGGGAATGGGACTTGGGATTTGATTGGCTGGGCAAGTGCTCTACTGCTAAACTACAGCCTCAGTCCTAAAATTCTATTTAACAACATTTTCATCTTCCAGTAAGATCTCTTTTTCCCACTCCAAATACCAGGGATCCACTAATCTATTTACTGTTTACATATATTTGGCTTTTCTGTATTTTTTGTTTTCCATAGTGCTGGGAATGGAACCCAGGGCCTTGCATATGCTAGGCAAGTACTCTACCATTGAGCTACATTCCCAGCCCCTACTCAGCATGTTTTTGAAGTCCATATGTATTATAGCATATATCATAAATTTCCCTTTTTATTGCTTAATCCTATTATTATTTACTTCTAAATCATGAATATACAAGTTGATGGACATTTAGATTATTTGTATTTTGGGGCTATTATGAATAATACTGCTGTTATGATTAATATGTGCACATTTCTGTATATGGATTTGGATTTTAGACAAGAAATTTTAACAAGCAGGTGTGGTAATGCACACCTGTAGTCCCAGACACTTGGAAAGCTGAGGAAGGAGGATCACAAGTTCAGCCTTGGTAACTTAGTGAGACCCTGTCTCAAAATAATTTTTTTTTTCCCATTTGGTATAGGGTATTGAACTCAGGCACTCAACAATTGAGCCATATCCCCAGTCCTATTTTGTATTTTTAATTTAGAGACAAGGTCTCACTAAGTTGCTTAGTGCCATGTGTTGCTGAAACTGGCTTTGAACTTGCAATCCTCTTGTCTCAGCCTTCCCAGCTGCACCACTGAGCCCAGCCCAGCTTTCAAAATACAATTTTTAAAAAATAGCTGGGGATATAACTCAGTGGTAAAATGCACCTGGATTCGAGCCCTAGTACTGCCAAAAAAAAATTAACAAAGTGTGAGAGGGGACAGAGAAGTTGGTTTATGCAGGGAAATGATTTAATGAGTGGTATTGCTTTAACTTGGCAGCAAGGGATATGGCAGAGGGCATTTGGTGGGTGAGAGACAATGAAAGGTGTTGAGATGTGGGATGCTCAAAACAAATTGGGGTAGCAACAGAAGTGAGCTGGAAGAGTGATGCAGCAGTGATGGTGTGAAGGTCTGTACCTCACCCGTGTTCTTGCTGTCTGGCTTTTTTTTTTTTTTTTTTTGCTGTAGGACTTGAGATAGGTAAGAGCCTTTAGTTTTCAGTTGAGACCTGAGTTTGGAAAGATGGCTAGCTCTGAGGGAACAGCAACTCCCAGACAGTTCTCAGTTCTGGTGAACTGAGGAATGCCTTCAGAGGGGTTTTATTTCTCATAAATTGTACTCAGGGCATCATTTTCATGACCTATGCTAAAGTCATTGGCTTGCAACTTGAAGAGGCATGGTTCACATGGAGGTGAGCAGAGCACAGTGAAGACAGTGTGGGGTTTGAACCTGTGAATTTACTCCTGGCCACTTGCTTCTAGTACCTCTCTCTGATTCCCAAATTTCCTCATCAGTTTAACAGAATTAACAATATTTTATCTACTTTATGGGGTTGTTGTAAGGATTAAATGAGTGAGGAAAAATGAAAGTGCTTTTAAATTCTAAAGTATTATTGAAATGTCAGATCTTTCAATTAATTAGCAAGCTGCCTAGGGTTCCAAAATTATGCTGATTTTCTTTAAATTTCTCTTCCTCAGCTTTTCCTGCTATTTATTCGTCTAACTACAGAAACAGCAGGATCCTACAGTCCCCTGCCACAGCAATTTTTATTGCCAGCACCATGACATCTCATGTTGCTGACTTTGGACCAATTAAGTTAGATGGTACTGTCAGAATCTGTAAGCCTCAGAGCTGTCACACTGAGGCTATGTGTGCAGTGCTTTGGGGTACATGATCCCAAAATGCCTCAAACCTATTCACTAGGACTGTTAACATTTTCTCTGTCTTCTAGAAATGATGGCTTTGTACTTGAGCAATTTACATAACAAGGAGAAATAATGGTACCTTCCAGATGAAATGGTCACTCATGTTTTAGACTTTAGATCAGATGGGGCAATAGACCTGCCTATTCTCTAGCTCTTTCTTTGGAACGGGCAAGGTTTTAGTAAGCTTGTGCATATAGTCACCTGGTTTCTTCAGAAATGTAAGTAGATTGATTTCTCAAATGTTTAAGTCCCTAAAATCTTAATCTGCTTTCTTTATGTTCGTTTCTTTGAGATAATTTATTCTATCTTCCATTGTTCATCTGTCTTTCTATTCATCATCCATCCAGTCAGCAGATGTTTATAGTATACTGGCAGGTTCTATGATGGATCACAGGTAGACGGTAATGATCAGTATACACCAAGTTCCTGTCCTCTTGAACCCTACAATATAATGAAAAGGCTGGCATTAGATAGATAGTTATACAAATCAACATGGAATTATCAAATGTGTTAAGTGCTTAAAGGACATGTATTGGGTGCTGTGGGAAGAGTGAGCAACAGGGAGGTGCCAGAGTCTCTTGTTAAGTTCTTAAGCCAGCTGGTTAAGCAGGTTTGGAAATCAGAAAGTCTTCATTGAGTATCTATTATGTGTGTCTTGCCATAGAGCTAGATTAAACCTAGGGGTGCTAAACCATTGAGCTACAAACCAGCCCCTTTTATTTTTTTATTTGAGACAGGGTATTGCTAAGTTGCTTAGGGCCTTACTAAATTGCTGAGGCTGGCTTTGAACTTGTGATCCTCCTGCTTCAGCCTCCTGAATCCCTGGGATTATAGGCATGTGCCATCACACCTGGCAGAGCTAGATTCATAAAAATATGTAAAAGAGGTAATTACAGACACACTTTGCTCTTGAATAGCACTCAATGTGGGAATACTTACACATATGAAAGCAATTTGAAAATAGTGCTCAAAGCCAGGTTCAATGGCATATACACTTATAATCCCAGCTACTCAGGAGACTGAGGCAGGAGAACTACAAGTTTGAGGGAAGTCTGGGCAACTTAGACCCTGTCTCAAAATTAAAGAAAAAAAGATCTGGGGCTGTAGCTCTGGGTTCAGTCCCCACTACCAAAAAAAAAAAAAAAGAGAGAGAGAGAAAGAAAGCAAGCAAAATAGTACTAAGTCCATAGAAATGCCAAATTATGTGCTAGAACTTCAAAGGAAGAAGATGCAAAGGAAGTTAGAGAACACCAAGAGGGCTTCCTGAAGGAGACGGTACTTGAGCTGAGACATAAAGGAAATGTAAGATAATTGTTGGTGGTAAAGAGGTAAGACTCACTTATTTAATTCAAGGAGAGGAAATCATGAGTGTGGATGTAAAGAAGCCTCTTGGATGAGGGACCTGAGGATGAGTTTAATATACCTCTTTTACTGGTTTGAATTTGCTTTTGTGTAATCTGTAATATATCATTCAAATCAGAACTCTTTTGAAAATAAAAAAAAAAAGCTCTGTCTTGGGCAGATAAATATAGATGATTTCTGCTTTAAAGTGACAAAAGAAAGAGGCTTGTCCTAAAAAGGGGCAAGAGAATGAAGCATAGAGATGTAGTTTCTTTGTGCATAGTCCATGCTTACTATATGGATTTGACCATAATTTATTTACTTGTTTTTTTCATTATTTTTTTTATTGGTTATAATTATACATAATAATGGAATTCATACCTGCACATGATATAATAATATAATTGGGCCCGTATCATTCCCTAGTATTTCCCCCTTTCCTCTTTTTCCTCCTCCCTCCTCCTAGGTTTATTTGATTTTATTTGTTTTTTTTTTTTTTTTTAATATTTATTTATTTATTTTTTAGTTTTGGGCGGACACAACATCTTTGTTTGTATGTGGTGCTGACATCACTTATTGTTGGAGCCTAGATTGGGTCTCAGGTGTCTGAAAGGGAAGCAATCAGCATAGATAGAAAACAGTCCCAGCA